TTTCTTAATGTGTGTCTCAAAAAAATTGCTTTATTTTAGAATTAGAATGGAGATATTGAAGTGGGAACATAAGAGTTTATATTTACAACCAACGATTTAAATAATTTAATGATTATCTCTTTCCATCGAAAATAAGAATTCATGAGTTTAAGTCCCATAATATGTGAGTGGGGTAAGATAAGATATTGAATATGATTACTTTCCATTGTACAACAAAAAACAAAAATAAGAGTTTATATTTACAATAAACCAGATAATATTGGTGCCCTCGCACAAAAACGTTAAATGAAATAATTTAATCTTTTAATTGTTGTGCCTATGATTTTGATGATTACAAAACACATTTGAGTGACTAATTGGTTTATTTAAGTGTGTAGTTAAGTTGTTAAAAGATTGCAAGTAAACTTGGATTGCCCTAAAAATAGGCCAAAAGGATTCAAAATGTGCAGAGAGTCAGCTCTAGAAGCTGCAGCCGGCTCTACAGGCAAAAATTTGAAGACCGTTGTTTGGCGCGTGCGAAGAAAAGACGCAAAACCAGCTCCAACTTTATAGCCGACTGTGAGGGTGCATTTAATGCACAACGGTCGACTCTTTTGAATGTATTTAAAATCAAAATTTCAAAGCCGGCTCAAAGTCTTACAGCCGGCTCTTGAGGAAAACAAAATGGCCTGCAAACCCGGATAGCCAGCTCTGGAAGTGTAAGCCGGCTGTGCAAAGCCGACTCTCCTAACAGTTCTGCAACTCGAGCCATGCGTCCTGTAGGGCATTTAATGACCCCCAACGCCTAGAAACGGCTATATTCGAGCAAGGGGCTATAAATATGATTGGTAACAGATATGAAGAAAAGAGGAGAATATAACATTGCATATCTTTACCTACCTACTTGAGCTTAAACTTGAGTTTTTTATCTTTGAGTGATTATTGCTTGTAATCCTCTTCTTGTGCTATTGGTGAGTGATCTTAGGGGTGTGTTGATTCCTTCAAGAGTGATCTATTGAGAGGATTTGTGGGGTTTATCTTGTAAAGGGGTGAGATTTGAGAGAAACACCCTTATTTTTGTAAAAGGATTGAATGGTTCCTTTAAACCACCCTTGTTGTTGTTAGTGGAGAGTGTGGAGGAAATCCTTGGTGAGTGAAGCCAAGGTAAAGGACTAGGCTCCAAGTGGTTGGACCGAACATTTATAAATCATTGAGCAAGCTCTTCTTCTCTGCTCTTCTTCTCTGCTCTCTTTAATTTGGGTGTTGTGGTTGCAAAAAGGGAAGAATTTTTGAAACTCCAATTCACCCTCCCCTCTTGGAGTACATTAAGTCAACATTAATTGTTAAATATTGTTTGTTTTATGAATAAAAAATATCATTTGCTTTCAAAGATTGACTATAAAATTAAGTGTAATCAAAAGTAAATGTCAAATGCATACTTGTAATAGTTTTACCTATATATTTCATTATTCACTAATAAATAATGATGAAAGAATTATTTGTTTGTGCAAATTTAGAGCATTCTTCACATTTTTATGCAAATTTAGTGCAGATTCTTGGAAGGACTTTTTCAGTGTAAAAATTCAAGCGGTGCTGAACACTAAAACTTTCAGTTTTTGCTTTAATTGTTGAGAAGCTGGTTTTGTCTTCTGGCCTTTAAAAATCGGAGAAGCAAGAAATTCGTACTTTTATGGGTGCTTTTGTTGGTGTTTAATGAAACTTGCTTGTTGTTCTTATTTTCATTACCAAATCCAAATTTCTACTTTCCTTAGTAATGATGGCTCATTTCTTCCTTTCTCTCTAGAATTCATTTTAACTAGCACTAATTTTCCCAATAGTTCCTTTGACATATTTTAGATGGAGTCATGGTATAATTTCAAAGCAAATAAACAACATAAAAACTGAATTAATTTGCAGTGAATTTCAAATACCCTAAACAATACATTAAGAAAACAATACGACATTAAAGACATGATGGGTGGGAGAACACAGTTACATAATAACAGAAAGAAAACATAACAGAGTAAAGATAATGACAATGTAGAGAAAGACGAAGGAAAGAAGCAGCTATGATCGGAGCTATAGTGGAGCTTTGAGAACTGGATTGTTTAAGCCTAGGGTTTTAGAGAAAGGTTAAACTTTTTGAATTCAAACTTTATCTTCTCAGTCTTAGCAACTCCCTAGACTGCCTTTCCAATAAAAATGTCAAGTAATTTGCCTCAAATCATACCATCTCCTAGAACAGATATTAAAAACCCTATACACAAGCATGGTCATAACCCAAAAAAATATTACCAAATCCCCAATCAAAGAACCCTAGACAAAAGATTCCAAATTTTCTGAAAAGACACTCATTTTAAAGTGACAATTGTCTGCAAGAACATGTTATCGTTACTGCCATGTAAAGAACATTCACAAACCGAATGAATGCATAAGCTCTCATTGATCTATATCTTACTAAATTGCAGTACAGAAGAATAAAGTACCTGTCCATCAGGTGAAATTGCAAGATAAAGAACTCAGTATGTATGGTCCGCTAGAGTTGTCAACTGCATCAGCAGAAGAAATTCGGGTTAAAAACCACCAAATAGACATTGGCATGCATAACTATGCCTTATAACCATAAGGAAGGCAAGCTGATTTCATGTTAATTTTTTACCTTTGACATGGTAGTATATCTCCAGACTATTATCTGGTTTTGGGAGTACCCATGAGTGCTGACAAGTTCGTTGACATTCTTAGACCACACAAGATTACATACCTGCAACGTAATTAGGGGTTATTAGAACATTTGTAGCATTTGTAACCCAAGTAAATAAAGGAAAGGACACAAGCATAAAGAATGGCAATTCTCTAATGGCCCTGATGTTTCTTTAAACATCAAACCTTTCAGTGCTTCTGATGTGCAAATCAAAAAAATTCATCTCCCTATGTAATTGTGATTGACATGCAAAAAAGATTCCCAATGATTGAGATGCTTAACAGATTGTTAAGAAGACCT